TGTGTGTGTGTGTGTGTGTGTTTGTCTGTGTGTGTATGTAAGGCGGTAGGATGGGGCAGCCGTTGAGTGTAGCTTGAGATTAATGGGAGCCATTATCTCAATGCCCAAAACACTCAGTGATGAAGAGTCACTGCCTAGCGACAGGCCTCGGCCAATCAATTTGCAGCACAGCGGTCAACTGCCCGGGTCAGAGCCCACATACGGCTGGCGTTGATGCTGTTGTTGTGTCGCTCAGGGTGGTAGCGGGGGAGGAATGGCAAATTGCTGTGAGATTATGGTGAAAATAGAATGCACACCAGGTATCCACTGAAACGCATCACGAATTCCAACATTCTTTTGTGCATATTCCGTTTTTAAAGGACATTTCCCATTCAGGTCTGTTTGGATTCATAATGTTGGGGCAACTTTTAGGGTTGAATTTAATGATAAAAGCAGATTTTACTACAGGTTTTTGAAGTTGGAAATGGATGAGAAACTAAAGCTAAAGGCAGACGTTGAGACAAGGTCTTGATTCATGGCTGTTCTTTTTTTCTAAGGATTTCTAAGCCTGAGCCCATTTTGCTGCTTTCACTGAATATATTTCCCTCAGTATCTAATAATAAAACTTTTTTTGGTCTTTTGGAACAAGGACTTATGGAGTTACTGATGGTATATTTTTCAACCTTGGGGTTGCAACCCCATGTGGGGTCGCCTGAAATGTCTGTATCAAGTTGGAGGTGCCTCACTGATTTCCAAGTTTGAATTCTTTTATTTAGGTCTATGGAAATAACAACTATGAATATTTATTGTCGATGTCAATCACACACAACGACCAATCACAGTCTTTTTCCTACTATCACCACTTCCTACTTTTGCAAGTAATAATAATTGTACAGTAATTAGTAAAACTGACCTCTCATACTATAAAAGAAGACCAGCCTGCAAACACCGCCCAGTTTTTCTGTGTTCTATGACAAAGTTCAGAGCACGTCTATTACATTGGAAAAAAAAACTGATCTGCCCTGCTGCCACCAAGTGGAAGAGTATTTCATTGTTCTGCCTGGTACTGTTGCACTGCTCAACCAAGACAAATTGTTTGTAGAAAATAAATAATAGTTTTCGGCCAAGATAATTTTGTGATGACCTGATGATCTCTCACGGCAGGCTAACATGCCGTGGCACAGTGGAATCAGTGGTCTATGGTAATGTGTTTATTGGGTTTTTCTTTCTTTCTTTTTGTATTGAAAAGATACTTAATGTGATTAAAGACAGTCTAGACAGACAATTTTCAAGTGTCATTTGCTGTGTTTTGGTTGGCCTTCCTGGTGCCACTTTTACCATTAAATCAAAGCTGAACACCATGTGGTTTAGGAATGACTCAACACTTGAAAAACAGTGGGATGGATTTCACAGACTGTGTTAAATGTTCATATAAATAATATGAATATAATAAATAGTAAATATTCAGCACTGCACATTATAATCCTCAGTCTAAAGTAATAGACAATGGTATGAGGAGGTGGGTCTGCAACATAGATTTCCCAAATGACAAGATACTTATCTTAACATGCAGGAGTTAATTGCTTAAAAAACAAACAGAATTCAATTAAATTCAGAGAAAAATAGCTCTTGCAAGAGAGCAAGTTCTGCTACTGTCTGAATTCTAATTATGCACTTCAAAAACAATGGAAAAAAGGACTTTTTGCCCTCTAAATTAAAGGGAATTCTTTGACTTGTTGCAACACTGATGAGGATGGGCTGCCTGTGTGATGCAGCCAACTTTAATCTTTTAATGATCCATTTTTTAAATTATGAAATAAATGTCTAAAATCTAATCACCTAAAGTGACCCCCTGGTCACTATTTAGTGAAAACAGATATTATTTCTGGAGTTATCATTGTACCTGAGTTTACTACAAATGATCACAGTGCATTACTTTGTTTCACGCTTCATCACCTTCTACAGTTCCCTCAAGGCTTTAACTATTGTCCGCTTTTATTCCGTGTGATATTTTCCGCCCACGACATTTCATTAATAAATATTTCCTCAACAGGAAGGACTGTGTCTTCCATTCTAAAGCCCCTGGGACACTTAACTATATTTCCCATAACCGCCATGTTTACAACATTCCATTCACAATGTGGTGTGGAGTGATTATGAGCTGGTTTTCTCCTGTCTGCTTTATGAAGACACCTCTGAGAGGAGTTAATAAACAGCAGAGTAATGATGTTTACTCTCCTCTACTGGTGTTTGAAAGGACAGGAATGACCGCGATGTGCAGAAAGAGAGATGGTCTGTGTTTACATTCTGGAGTGATTTAAATCATTAATTTATTCAGGCATTTGTCAGTTAGCGTGATGTAAAATACAAAGATAAAAAAAGCTATTCAAAAGCAAATGATTTATTTTAAGGTCCACTGTTTGTTTTGGAAGTTGAGGAAAAAGTAGCAGTATTTATGTCTATGATCATGGACAGTTCATCTCACCCTAGAATCCTAGAAGGCTCTTACACTTTCACAGCAACCTGCACAGACTGAAGACACCGAGTGCTATAGGCAGCAAAGCTGCACAGGAACACAACGGTGTTCTTTTCTATAAATAACCAATTTCTGTGTCTGTCAACACTGAACTCATGTGACTAGCTGAAGCCCTAGTTTTATCTGACATGTCAAGATCTGAGAGTGATGTGCCGTAACCTTTGACCTCTCTGGAGGTTCTTCTTTGATCTTCGGTCACCTGTTGTGTTATCCCTCTTCTAAATATGTTATGAATTTGTCACAACCATGGAGAGAGGCAAAAAACCATCAACTATACACTAGGGATGAATCAAGACAACTTTTTCCGGTCTGATACCAGTACCGATACTATAAGTTAAAGTATCTGCTGATCAGTTTTATAATAACCCTGTTGACAGCATGTAACGTTGAGTTGAGCATTCGGGCTAAGGCATCAAATCTGATAGGCTGTAGTTGGTTTTTGTTTTGTTTGATCGTAACATTTTGACCAATCATTGGTTGGAATGGTCAAATTATTTTATCATTTTTTCTTTGAGGGGTCCCATCACTTTGTCCAGTTACATTGGTATTTTTATAATTTTCAGTTTAATTTGTTTTATTTTCTGTTAGACCAGAATGCAAAATCAATGTTGGCTTGTAATTTTGTCCGTGAAATATCCAGATGGTGTAAACAAACATTATTGCAATTATGCCTCAGAGACACACATCAATAATTGTTTGTACTTTTTCTACCTTCAAAATAACAACCCGGATGGGAGAGAAAAATGAAGGCTGGATATTGTATCAGAAAAGAACAAACTGACAGACTTGGTGAAGTGATAATACACAGTAGGCTAATGATTTCATACAAAGAAAATCTGAAATCGACGAGACAACATGGCAAAAGTAAATTAAAACTCATCTCAAACTCACATCTCACACTTTGAGAGAAGTCTGTTGAAAGGGTTAAATCCAGACCGATCTGTGAACCCCATGTTGGAATCTTACGAGCATTTAGACATGACTAACTTATTCATGAGGAAGACGGAGGCACCATTGGAAAGGGTAGATCTCTCTGATGTTAATAGGAAATGAAGAAACCCTATTGATTCCACTAAATTGATTCTGTAATTCAGGCAATAAAAAACATCTATCAATCAAACACATCCTTTGAAACTCTTCACTGCGTTGTTACAAGAACAGATAGAATTCATTCCTATCCATCACGGGAAATTTGCCGACGTGAGCGCCACACTGGAGTGTTGGTGTTAGGACAGTGTTGTGTAGAATCTTTCCCTCCTGCTCTTCTGCTCTTATGAAATGGCCGAGAAACACTTCCTTCCTGCTGTTGCCACAGGTGAAATCGAATCCAATTACCCTCATAAGTACCTGCTTAAGTAACCGGCTTTGAAGCTCCCGGGGACCATCCATCAGCAAGGAGGAAACAGAAGAGTTTCGCACTTAAAAGGAACGCTAAAAAACTTTGAACGCTCATCATAGAATTAGACAGGGGGTTGGAGTGCTATGCTTTAGTAGGTTATTTGATTTGTCTGTCTGTGGATCGGGCTAATCCAAAACAAGGGCGGGGGGGAAACACCCCATTAACACTTGGTGCTTTTCTCCAGATCAAATAAACACATACACACATATAAACGACGAAAATCGGCCAATCAGAATTTTGGACAACCCAATAAATCAACCAGTGGACTGGGAGATTACAGCCCTACTGTACAGGGACATTAGGAATAGTCCACTTTAAAGATATGAAATAATAGGACTGATCTCACAGATGTGTGGTCAAGGGTCAAAGCTCTTCCAAGGTCATTTTTCAATCTCTGTAGGCTTTAAGATGTAACCCTAAACTGTAGCTGTATCTTAAGCTCTGTTGTGGTAGAATTTTGTCTTCATCCTTAAAAGGCCTTGTTTTGAAGAGTGAAGCTGATAGGCTGTAAACCATCCATTTCTGGCTGTGTTAAAAAGCTAAACATCTCACCATACTGTACGTCTGCCTGCACAGCATGTACAGTACATACAGCCTCGGCCCTCCTGCCACTCTGTTATGACTCAGGAAAGTTAAATCTAAGCAAGCAATGAAACAAGAGCCGCCTGTGTGCCTGCATGCACCCTCGTCATTTGCAGACAAACACACATGTTGTTTGAGCAAAGCGCAAGTGCAAACACAATACATTTTCAAGCCTTGTTGCTCTTCTCTGTTGCTGCACAGATTTGTTTGACGAGGAAAGAACACACTTCAATTAGTACAATTTGTGCATTGAAATAATGAATTTTAATTGGGTTTTTGGAGTCTAAAACCAAGACAAGTCTTCACAGTCTAGAGCCGGTGTTCTAGACCCCACAAACAGCATTAGTCTCCTTTGCGAAGCCACAGATGATGCTACAATTTTTCTCTCCTCTAATTTTCTGACCCCCCCCCCCCTCCCCAGTGGACCCCACTTTGAAAACCACTGGTCTAGGCGGCTTATCACACTGTTGCTGAGGAACCAATGTCAGAAATGCAGTCACTCACCTTAGCGATCTGGACACACCAGTTGAGCAGCAGCTGCGAGCCGATGTTGTCCTTGTGCTCATGCACGTAGTCCAAGAGGCACCCGTGTGGCATTAGCTGTGTGACCAGCTGGATGGTGGGGCTCAGACACACGCCCAGGAGACGCACCAAGTGGGGATGCTCCATGCTGGCCATGATCAGGGCCTCCTGGGTCAAAGGGGAGGAAGAAGAACTCAGGCAACTGGAGCACATTTTGGTTGTGACCAAAGCATTTTGTTCAGGTTTTGTTGTATGTTGATCTCAGTATATATATAGGACTCAGTCTGCCTGTCTACTGGTTTAAAATCTATGGGAAATGCTACAGTAGGAAAAGTAAAACACCAGTCTAACAAGTATAGAGTCTGATTAAAGAAAGAACTTAACAAGCATCAAGAACATTCTTACAGGACAGAAAAAAAACTGGAGAAAATGCTCTCAAAAAATTGAATTTTTAAACATGACATTTCTCTTATGGCAAAGCTTGTAGCTTTCAGTTTAGCAAATCTTAGGCTTTGGTTATTTTTTTACATCTGTTTCATTGTTTATATTAAATGTTTCTTTTGGGCTTTTAGTTGTGGACATATATGGAATTACATTTGGATACATTTTAGCATGTTGGATAAACAGTAATAACTTGATTAAGATGGAGCTTTGAACATATTTTGTGACCCTTTTAGCTACTTCTTCCAATGTTTTGGCTAGCATATGGTTACAGTATCAACAGCCTAGCTTATTAAGAATTGTGATTATCACGTTTCTTATCCAAACTGTAGGTTTAAAAGCAATCTTGCTAGCAATATTGGGTATTTAATTTGTTAAGTTAAAGTCATGTTAGATGTCTCTTTCTCACTTTCTCAATTTCAAAAGCTTTATTTCTGCAACGTTTTCTCAAATTTGGCTTTGCTTTAAGACAATTTTACTTCAACATTTGGTCAGTTGGTTGGTAACAATTATAATATTTTAAGATTAATTTAAAAAAAATCTACTTAATGTATTTCAGCAGAGGATGGCCACAGGTTTGTACAGTGGAGAATCAGCCGTGAGTAATTATCATGGTGAGGCAAGAACGTGCATTTTGTATCAACAGAAGCTACGGCTGTTTTCCACAGTGCTAATTTCAGTCACAATTTCTCAAATGAACACACTGTCTCTTGGTGACACCCTAACAGACTGATAATTATACACTTTTAAAGACACACATGCAGGCTGTCACTTCTTCTTCTTCTTCTCTCTGGACAGACGTACACATTTAATCAGGCGTAATCCCTGGGGATGCAGCTGATAAATATATAGACAGATAGACAAGGAGTTTTTTTTTTTTACGAATCCAAGTGCAAAGGAATGAGCTCGTAGTGAGTCTGAATGTTAGTGTATTAATTCTGAACAGGAGGTGGGCCAGAGGCCATGAAGCAGCTTTTGGCAACTGATTTAAAGCAGGAGCCTCGCAGCCCTTCTTAGTGCCACTACATTTCTCCTCTTCATTAAACCACCTGCTACCCCCCTCTCTCTCTCTCTCCATGTTATACGACTACAGCCACACCAGTGCAGCGTGTGGCTTTAACCTCAAAGGGAGGAAAAAAGGAAACATCAGAAAAAGGGAATGAAAGAAGGAGGAACAGAGTGTGTAGCTTTCAATCACACTCCGTGATCCCACAAGACCCAGGAGTCATAAACTGTGTCGGGCTAAATTCTCTCCTCTAGCTTTCTACTCCCGGGGCAAACGTAACAGACTTGTGTGTGTGTGTGTGTGTGTGTGTGTGTGTGCTGCTTCTATGCACACAAACCTGCATGTGTGCCCGTATGTATGTTTTCCTTTATCTCTCATCTCCCTCCGACACTGACCTCCATTAGCGTTCGCTGACCCCGCTTCTACGTGGAACGGGGCTGCTCACTTTCCACCAAACGCACACGTACGCACTCAACCGTGCTGAACCCAGTCAAGAGACTGACAGGAGTCTGGACGGGTGTGTTGCAACACACTAAATTAGTGTGTTATTGGAGCCTTTTGCATTTCGCATATCCTTAACTGGTACTCGCCAACACAAGCGTATGAGCCCACGTAGTTAGTATGTGAGTGTTGCTGACGCCACCTGGGGAGCTTTTTGTTGTAAAGTGAAATGCAGGGGGATGTTTGATGGCGTTTGAGTGAGTGAGTGTGTGTGTGTGTGTGTGCTTGGGGAGTGTGTTCAGAGCTGGCACTCCAGTGACTAGTTTCCCCAGTGGTGAAGCGTGAGCCTGCCTTTAGATTGCTGTTTAACAAGCCAGCAGACAGAGCATATTGGCTCTGGATGGACAGAGACCCCCGCTGGGAGGAATGAGGAGAGGAAGGAGGAAAACGGAGCGACATTATAAAAAAAAATGCAGATGAAGTCAGAAGAGTAAGGATGTAGAAGAGCTAAAAAAAGGAAGATAGAATACTGCCAGAATAAAAAATTCAGGAGTTGTCGTAATTTACCTACACATAAATTGATGAAGACATAAATCAATATCGTTTTTCATGTACTGTTTAAAGAAATACAAAGTCATTCATGTCAGAATAATGGTAGATATGAAGGGATGAATCATACTTAAGTAAGAAGAAAAAGTCTAGTGAAACAAAATGTACACATTAAAAAATATATTACATTTATAATATATTATATTTAAGTTTGAATTACAAAAACGTACACAAGTAGTAAAAAATTGTGAGATATTGTCAGAATCACAACCTAAAATAATTAAAGGTTTGAGATAAGAGAGTCATTTATGAAATAGATGTCAAAATCGTGAAGGAGAAATAAATCTGACTTCTTCTTCTTTTCCTTTTGGCTTTGTCCCTTTTTTCAGGGGTTGCCACAAATAAATAAATCTTTAATTTTTTTTTAAATTTTGAAATAAAATAAATAAATCTGACCTAAGATGCAGAAATGCGAATTTGTCAATGTGTGTATAAAACTGTGACAAAATTAAATATTTGAAAATAAAAAGCTGTTTGAGATCAAAAAGTCACATGATAGAAGTTACATATAAGTGAGAATAACAACCTCTCACCTCAGTGGAGAGAAAAATGTTTCTTCCACCTCTTGCTCATCCTCCATCTACCAGACACCACTTTGATGACACTCAAGTCTTATCTCATAAAGTTTTTACAGTTTTTTTCTTCGTTTTATTGGAGTCCTGTTTAATACACTCTGACTGTACCAGAGAACACTTTATTACTGACTCCAAATGACATCGCGCTCTCATGAGTATTTACTCTCCCTGCTGTCTCATCTTCAACTGACAGACAGAAATATGGACGCTCACTCGTTGTGGCGCACATACTCACATCCATGAACTCCACGTTGGCTTTGGGACCTGTCGCTTCGTTGAGGATTTTGATGGCCACGGGGATCTTCACTGTCTCACCTTCTGGGACCCAGATACCCTGAAATACAGCAAACATTTAAACTTCTGTGATAGATTTGAGTCATTTCCAGGTAATTATGCAGCCCGTGTTGGAGTTGTGTCGTCCAAACTGCAGCTGTCAGAGTTTGTAAATACAAACAGGAAGGAGAAGATTTGAACAGAAGGTCCAAAAACATTAGTAGAAGGCCGGTTGATTAAACCCATTAGGAGAGGAGCAGTTCATCTTTAAAATGTTCAACATTGGCTTTAGCTCCAATTTGCTCATTTTCTTGAAATATTGCTCACATCCTGGTCATTCCTAATGAAAACTGTACTAACTTTAAAGCACCTCCAGCATCTTGTTTTGTTCATTACCAACCCAGCACTGCCTTTCCAGGGACTTTTACTTTTACTATCCCTCTATGGGACAGTA